TCATGATTATGATACCATTACCTATGATTAAGGATTCCCGACAAAATCCATACTTCAGGACAATAAAACTCTTGTTCCAGTGGTCGCATCTCCTTCTTCTAAACTGCTTCCTGGAACTCGCATATTCACCCCTATTTTGTCCGTCTCAAAAAGTAAAACCCACTCTCAGTCGATAAATGTGCTTCCCCCCCCTTCCTGATGAGAAACTTCTCGGCGGTCATAAACTAAGGTCGCAGTACATTCCAGTTCCCTTTTATCTGTGACGGTAATTATATTCTTCCCACAACATTAGCCGTTGTGGAGCTGCTGGCATTGCTCGAGAGTGAGCACGACGGAACAATTATGTCCCACAACCCGATCGATGAGCGTGCATCTGCCATAGCACTGCTACTCGCAAATGTTTCTAGGACTGTTCGCCCACTCAAAAGTTGACCGGACGCCCACGCAAAAATGGTTCAGTTTTCTGAGTGAGGAGAAAAGTGGCTCTCCTCGGTGCCATCAACTATGAGGTAGGTAGTAAGAGCATGCTACAGCAGCAGAATAACTGGGTCAACCTTGAGAAAGGAAGGGGTAAATTCGAATGCTGTGTCAGGGGGAAAAAGAACGATGCCTGGCTATGTTCATTAGAAAAGAACCTTCACTGTGGAGTTGTGTCGGGCGGTGAGAGAAAAGAAATAATACAGGCGATCAGGGCTTATTAGGAAGCCTACGTGCGAACTAGTTGACTACTTTGGAGAGAGGTAAGAGGAATTTTGTAAAAATTAAAATTAACGGAGACTAGCACTGGGTAGGGGATAGAAGGGGGAAGAGAACGAGTGAAAAAAATGTCACAGAACTTTTTTTCCTTTAGCACAAAATATGCTGCGGTTAGAGGCACTGACGAGAACCAAAGTTGAACAATTCCAGCAAAGTTTGAGGTGAAATTAGGAAATTGTTATGTGTGGAGGGCAGAAGTGATTTGGAGGTAATATTGTCTAAAGTCTAGGCTGTGTAAGCAGTGAGGAAAAGGGTGCAAAGTACAAGACCATATCAAGCACCCGCACTTGTGTTCTGTGGCAAACACAGATAAAGTACCTTACGTTCAGGGCGTAAACCTGCTTAGATGTCGACCATCGACGTTTGTGTATGTGTGTGCATACTTCGAGAACTTGGGTACATGAGGCTGTGGACAAAGCAGCTAACAGTAACCCTGGTGTGTAAGCTGTGTTGACACAGCACCTCACTTCGAGACCGAGGCGCAGTGCTCGTAATCTAGGTTCTCAGTAAATACTAGGTTGGAACAAAAGTTCTGCAACACTAGCGACGGACGTTATTTGCACACGTTTTTATTTGAAGTTTTTGCCCACATTTACAGGTCTCATTGATGTCTTTGTATGCGTATGTACACTTTTATAAAACTATCTTTAACAAGACATTCCAGTCCAAACCTTATTCCTACATTTCAGATATCTTTGTGCTGTAACGGTAGCCAAGGCCGAGATGTCACCGCCTAATTACACCTTGTGTGAGTCCCCCAAGGAAGAACATGAAAAGAAGAGCGCAACAGCAGAAGTCTTTGAGTGTCAAAGGTAAAACAAATTTAGGGCAACGGCCGAGTGTAAACTAGGTCCATCGAGCCAATCAGTTTTTGCGCTGGATTGGCTACCGGCGCAATCGGCTGGGACTCAGCGGCTGACATTCAGCTTAAATTTCGAATTATCGATTGATGTGACTGCGAGTTGCGTTCGCTGCCTGTAGGCAGATCAATAGCCTGCTGTGAGCGCAGCTGCTTGTTGCAGGCTATCTATCTGTTAGGCTTCTCCTAACACTTTGAATCCCGGTTCGCTATTTCTGGAAACGACGACTTTCGGTTAGGGAAGCTGCGAAGGAGGTTTGTAATGCCGAAGGCGCCGTCCAAAACACAGCTATTTCTCGTTGGTATAAGCATTTTAACTCTAGCTACATCAGTTTGGAAGACCAGCTTTGTTCCGGTCGACCGCCAGAATTGGGCAATGGGGTACTGCTCTCCATGCCTGGAGATGAACCTTCATCGAGTAGCCGTGATTTGGGAGCAGTACTTGGAGTCGATCACAAGACGGGCTAGAGACACTTAAGCAACTTGACTTT